GCTGAACCCTGCCGCCATTGTCGCCGGCGAAATGAAGGCGCTCACCCAGAATATACAGGACCTCCTCAGCTCTGGGCACCCTTCTCTCGACAAGGTCGCCAAATACTACATCCAAAGCGAAGGCAAGCACCTGCGTCCGCTCGTCGTCCTGCTCATGGCCAGGGCAACCTACAGCTGCCCCAAACTCCCCGTCGACGCCCGCCGTCCTACCGCCAATATCAACTCCCCGATAACTTCTCCCAGCATCCTCCAGGACTTCAACCCCTCCTACACCTCCGAGACGCCCGCGCCGTCGCCCTCCACAATCGCGACCCAAATCTCGCCCTCCCAGACCCGCCTGGCCGAAATCACAGAGATGATCCACGCCGCCTCCCTCCTCCACGACGACGTCATCGATAACGCCGAAGCCCGCCGCGGCAGCCCCTCCGGCAACCTCGCCTTCGGTAACAAAATGGCAATCCTAGCCGGCGACTTCCTCCTCGGCCGCGCCTCCGTCGCACTCGCCCGCCTGCGCGACGCCGAGGTCGTCGAGCTGCTCGCCACCGTCATCGCAAACCTCGTCGAAGGCGAGTTCATGCAGCTGCACAATGGCGCGACTTCCCCGTCCGGCGACGCCCGAGGCCCGCCGCCGCGCTACTCCCCCGCGGCGTTCGAGCACTACATCCAGAAAACCTATCTGAAAACCGCGTCGCTGATATCAAAGTCCTGTCGCGCAGCCGCCATTCTCGGCGGCAGCACACGCGACATTGCGGACGCAGCGTATCTGTACGGTAAGAACTTGGGGCTGTCGTTCCAGCTCGTGGACGACCTGTTAGATTATACCGTCGCGTCAAGCGACCTGGGGAAGCCAGCGCAGGCGGACTTGAAACTCGGGTTGGCGACGGCGCCGGTGCTGTTTGCGTGGGAGCAGTACGAGGAGCTCGGTCCGATGATCAACCGCAAGTTCGCAGAGGCGGGAGATGTCGATAAGGTGAGTTTCATCCATAATCCCACGATTCCACTATATAAGCAGTGCTAATAAGTGGTGTGAATAGGCGTGGGAGCTGGTGCAGAAGAGCAATGGGTTGCAGCGGACGCGGGAGCTAGCGGAGAGCTTCTCGCGCAAGGCGATAGACGCGATCAGCATGTTCCCGGACTCCGAGGCGAAAGAGGGGCTAGAACAGATCGCGCGCAAGGGGCTGACGCGGAAAAAGTAGCGTCGCACATACAAAGGTAATCGACCTTTCTTTTCTTTTGCGAAATCTTGTCTGCATGCTTGGCATGCAGGTACCGTCACGTACTTGTAGTATGATCATCATGCATTTTAGGTGTATATAGTTTTTGGCTGCGTGTTTAGACTTTTCTGTATATATGAGATTTCACATGGTATATATTCACATATACACATTCATAGCATGCACTCGATTGGATGAGTTCAGAACTCGATGCTTGGCGAATATCAATTTATAGTCATAGCTTTTGTCTAACCTGGGTCTTATCATATCGTACACGTAGCCTTCATATATACGGAACCTCAAACGTGACATTCCGTCCGTCCATGTTTACGGAGTATGGGAATCTCCTGACAACAATCGAGTTTACGGCTGCATCCCCTCCACGGCAGATAGAAACGCATCGCGGGAAAGTAAGATCATCCGGCCCTACATTTCACAAACCACCCGTTAATCAAACTTTGTTCCGGGTACCTATCTTGATACTTACAAGGATGTGCCGCAAGCGGGAAGTTTAAAAAGGGAGTTTAATGAAGGGAGCGAGATTCTCACGAACCTTTGGCAGGATCCCGAAATCCTGAAACGCGCGCTTGGAGTCCGCTGCTTCCTCTGGTACCTCTGTTTTATACCGGTATACGGCGTGAGCACCGCTGTCGCCTGTCGCGCGGGATAGGAAGATCTCGTCTTCCGGATGGAAATTGAAGGTTTGCGAGGACGACGATTTCGAGGAGGAGAGTTTTTTTGATTTGTGCCGTTTGGAGGGGCGGGAGGGGCCGTCTGGCGGTGTGAGTTTTGATTCTATTTCCGCGTAGACTTTCGAGATGAGGAGGTAGTTTGTGAATGCGTATGGCTCATTCTGGAACAGCATTCTAAGTCAGTATACGGCGTGTGGATAATAGGTTTATTGTGTAATGGAGATGGACCGACGTCTTCGACGGCGAGGTCGACTTCTTCGAGCAGCATCTTGTAGGACGGCGGGGAGATCTCGGCTGGCATGTTTATCAGGCGCTCAGAGAGGACGATCGCTGTATTATTGGAGGGGTTCGAGTCGGCGAGGAGGGTCCGTAGATGCGGCTCTAGCGGGGTCCCGGTGCTTCGGTCTAATAAGTAGGATACCAGGGCTTGCACGGCCGCGTTTCCCTATTCATACCATACAATCCGTCAGTCGAGGCTTCTTCTCCGATACCCTCCCGGCGAACAGTGAATGTATATGTATATCTGCTGTGCGTTTGTGTGGCTGGTGGTGGCGCAGGTAGGGAAGCTGGTGGCGACACATGTATATAGCGATGTATGCATACTCGGTGGAGGTTCAGGTTGATGACGGTAAGGAACGAGTAAGGGTCGCCCTCCCGCCCGTCGACCTTGACGGTGCTTCCGACCAGCTTCTGCGCGAGTATCAGGTCCGTCAACGCCGACAGATCGAGCAGCGCCGCGTCCGCATCGAAGAGCTGGCGCAGCAGCAGTTTGATGCCGTGGAAGTCGTGGTCTTGCGGGTCGAAGAACTCAAAATCGACGTTTACAATTTCCTTGTCGTCGCCGTCGGAGCCGGAAGTCTGTCAGTCGATAGGATGTCAGTACCTATTTTCTTTCTTCTCGGTATTGTATGATATGTTGTGCTTGATATGGCTGTGGTTTGGAAGGATGGATTGTGTGTACCATTTCTTCATCTTCGTTCTGGTCGGCGGGAGCGGCGTGCTTCCCGGTGCCGTTCTCTGGATGCGGTCGCTCGGACTCGGCGATCGAGGCGTCTTCCTGTCGGCGCTTTACCATGGTGATAGATGGGACGATCGGCTTGCAATGGTGCTCGTTCGTGGATGCGGATGGATGTTGAAGATGTTCGAAATCTGCGGTCGTGCTGAATGCGGTAAGCTCAAGCAGCTCTGCCATATGCACGGCGCCAAATCGCAGCCCAAAGCGCCCGTTAGCGAGACTTAGCAAAATAACACACTTGTTAACACTCCTTCAAATTCCATTTAAACTCCATATTTGAAAAGTGTACCATAAACAATCCCGTCAGAATACACCGATTCGGGCTCTTCCACCGACTCGCTGATATAGCCATCGCACCACGACCAGAACGATGGAAGAAGAATCAAGATCTAGAGCTGGAGTGCCGATCCAGGACTTCGCCCAGGCGACGAACCTACTCCTCGACCACGGCATAACCCTTATCGAATGGGGTGACCAGATTCTCGTACAACATGGCTACCCTGCTGTGATACATGTCTGTATTTCGGAACCCCGTGTGTCGCGTCACGAGCATAGCTAAGAAAGCATGAGTACAGTCATACAAATACCTTATCAAAGACTCCGAAATCGCACAAGCCGCCAGTCTCATAGAAACCCAAACAGCCTTCCAGCGCGTACCCCCGTCGCCCGGGGCGCGAGCATTTGGCGTGATTGGCATCTCCGGATACCATTTCGTCAGTAAAAATGATCACCCACGCTGGCCTACGAGGCTACATTTACTTCCGGAATCGCTTGTGCACCTTTCCAGCACGGGCAATGATACCGAGCCTGCGGCATCACGCTTCGATAGCAGCCGACAGTTTCTTCGACCGAAGCTTCCCCAAGACTGCGCCTCACTTGTGAAATGTATGGAGGAATTTCCGAAATACTCCGGCAGTTGGATGGCAGCCACTTTGCCTCTTTGGTCGCTCATAGTGGCAGCAATTTATAAGGAGCCCGATCCGGGTCGCAAGATCTGGGAGCCTGAGGAGTTGACGGAGTCGGAAGAGCAATTTCGGGTAAGACAGGCTGAGGCGGTGAAGTTTGTTGAAGGGTGGGAGTTTGACGAGGAGGATGAGCCATATCGGCGGAAGCTGATCAAGATTTTGATGAACGAACCGCTTGACTAGCGTTGTAGTTTAGTAGACGCCTATGCATGGCACCGCAGCGATATACTTTTTAAACTGTATTGATACCTGGATGACAAGCAGGGAGGGTATTCTTGTACACGTTTCGTGGCTTGGCCACCTACGTTTGAAGAAAGTTCTATAGTGACTCGTTTTTTGTTCTATGATGATTCCTTCTTGCCTTTGCTATATCGAATTTAGCAATTACCAGATCATGGCGCGTCAGAGGCATGATTATCGTAAAGTCGCAGGCAGTATATGTGAGAGGTTGTATTTATGCTTAATGACGTTCCAGCTCTGTTGCTCTTAGATCCTAGATCGAAGTATGGTAACTGGTTAGTGTTTCAGAGTCTATAGATGCGTATCTGCGCTGTGGCCCAAGAATGGACGCTTCGATGTCACAATCCTATATATATGGGCTAATATCACAACCTCGAAGTGTCGTCATAGCGTTACTTTGGCAATCCATTCCTTCCTCCGCAGGATTCCAGTCCGACCCGTGCGGAGAGATAAGATTGTTTTTGGATCAGTATACCTCGACGGCACGCCCCTCCTGTAGATCAGATGTGTACAAGCCCTCCGCCCTCTCGAGTTTAACTACATTGCAATGGAAGTAGTAGGGGTTCTATAGTCCGGCGACGAATACTATGACCAATTCATAACCCCGCTCCTGGTGATTCAATGCCTGTTGCAACAGTGGTATGCGTTGTGCCTATGCGGAATTGATGCGACCGCAAGAGAGTAAGAGAATCGAAGAATATCTTGTCAACGAGCGAAGATAGAAGCATTTGCAGAAGGAGATAGGTAAGTGTGGTTTTGCGGCCCGCCTTTAGGGGAGCCATGGTTGTACGTGCGTGTTTTATTCTCGTGGTTTTTACGAGACCCATCTTGCAACCCTGATGTATGACAAGACGGAGGCGTCAGCTATATGACAGCGGGGATAGCTCAGCTGGGAGAGCGTCAGACTGAAGTACTCAGTCACAAAATCTGAAGGTCGGGTGTTCGATCCACCCTCACCGCATCATCATTTTTTTTTTGTTTTTGCTCTGGCCTGTCCTGGTACCAACGGGATAGACGAACGACGAACTCCGTCGGTGTTCGCATTTTTATCCGAACAACGCAAGAATTTGTGGTATACGAGACAAAGCAAATGCTGTATCAAGATTGCGACACAAGATTGCAATACAAACACAAGACTGCAGGGCATAAGGGTCAAATACTGTGCTCTATGTTTTTTTATAGCATCTAGAGTAATCTAGAAAAATGAACAGAGCGTTTAACAGACGACATATATGCGCAACGCTGAAATACTCAACTTTCGATCAGGGGTAATAGCACTTGGAGGCTGCGCAGCAGCACCCGAACCCAACTCCATAATTACCTACTAGCTACTAAGTATTCATATACATGGAAGAGACGCCTTGCAGTTGAGGACTTGTATACTATCCTGCCTACCTGCTATGGACCTCGACTGCAAGGTGCTTCTTGTCTATATAGCTATAGCTAGCTGCTGTATGTAGGTATTGTATACTGTACTCTTATCTATGTATACAAGCAAATCGCCATTGCAGGTGAGCGAGTGAATGAGCAAGCAGGCAGATAGGTAAGCAAGTAAGCAAGCAAGCAAGTAGCAGGCAAGTGGGCAGCAGGTGGGCAGCGGGTGGGTGGGCAAGTATCCCAGTTTAGCTTAATGCATAAAGCTGTATGGTATGCAACATACACCTATACTATTAAGCTTAGTGTAGTTATTCTCTGTTAAGTGTACTATGCCCTACAGTTCCTTAGTTGAGCCTGTTTTTGGTGGTCTCTCCCTCGGAACTCTGGAGCCATATATATTACTAAGTGGTTATAGTGGATGAAGTCTCTAGAAAAACAATATATTTCGGTACTGCCCCCACCCCTCCACCCCTAATTAATTTAGTACCACCTTGAGGATCTCGTTTGCTTGTGGAATACTCTCCCTGAGCTTTTGAATCGCCAGTTTATACTTCTCCAGCCGCTCTTCGTCAACACCGTTGAAGGTTATCCTCTCATTGTTTTGTCTAAGCCACTTCAACAGATAAATAATATCCGAGCAATCTGTCCACGCTTTTATCTGGGATGCTGGCCTATCTGAGTCGCATATATAACTCCAGCGAAGGACATTGAGACAGACGAGGAGCCGCCGGGGGGGGGGGGAGATTATCGGCACTAGCGGTCAATCAATCAATATTTACCATAGGGTCAGTTCTTCATGTATATGTAAGTATCTCACTCGGCAGAGTCTTTATCGGTATGGTTGTGACTCACTTCCTTGAGCCATTACTATGGGCGCAGTGTCTAGATTTGGCATTCTCAGCGTAGCTTGTTTCCCATGCTGCAGAATGCCGTATGGGACCACATCGCCCTTTTTCTATATATGCATCAACCCAATTATTAGATTGCAGGCAAGGGATATTTAGATATTCGGTATTTAGTGGATATACGCACGCTCGTATATACGAAGCTCATGTCGGCGTTTTCTTTGAAGCTGGTGCTTTTCTCAAGAATCAGACGACGGAATAGCGCGCTCGGCAAGTCCAAGAGTATGCCGACATTCTGTCAAAGCACCAATTATCAGCAACAGATATACAATTTTACAACAGCATCTGTAGTGCGGGAAGTTATGTGAGTTCTTGTGGGTCTAGAGGGGATGGGCGTACATGCGTGGTTCTTTCGGAAAGGAGTAAGTTCATTGCTGCTCCTCCGATAACAGTATGTCTGATATTAAGGCCAGATAGTGTCTTTGAAAGCTCCTCGGCTGCTTCTACGACCCGGGAGATGGCCTCGGCAGAAGCGACGGCCATTTCGCTACACGTAGGTGGAGTCCACGGACTGGCTATTGCTTGTTGATCGAATGCAAGATGGTGAGTTGCTAGTTGTCGGTTGGTACGATGCCGTTGCGCGTGCAGCTGCGCAGGAGTATAGATGAGTTGCTTATCAGCTTGAGCTGACGGCTGCTCTACTGCCGCCACCCGTGGCGTCTACAACGCTATTCTCGCCCAATTCACTTATTCCCTTGTGTGATGTCGCGAAGATCGGGCGATATTGTCGATGACCACGTGCACTCGGATAGATTTCACGCACAAGGATGACGACACGTTTTGATATATAGCGCAGCGTTGCTGCTTAGATTCGCGGGCGAGAAAATCAATTACGAAGTTTAGACCTAAAGTATTCATAAATCCAACCAGATACTAGAGGACAGGCTATTCACACAAGCGATTTTTGGATTTAAATGCATCGAAGCTTCTATATAAGTTATATTTGCGGTTATTTGGCTTTAGATCAGCGATTGACGCCGATAAATGATGAGCTTAGCTCGTAAACCTGAAGACTGCACTTGCTGGGTGACCGCGCGAAGGATAGTCTGGAACATACTAAGGTTTATCCTGTCACGATATCACTGGATTTTCTGATGGTACTAGGACTGGTCTCGATTTGCCTAACTAGCGTTCTACTGGGTTTTTTGGGTTTTTTTTAAAAAAAAAACAAATTTGATCATAGAAAAAAGAAGAGTAAAAATTTAAAATACTTCCACTCATCATTAACGCGTCCTAGAAATCATATTATATATGGCCGTATTGAATAATCAGATTGATACCTAGATGATTGAGTACCTACTGGGTAGCTACTCCAACACCGTTTAAAATTTTAAACCCTAAGACTTTTATCCCGATCCTTATTTGTAACGAGACAGATGATTGTCTCGTAAATCAAGCTGCCGATGGTAAAGGGACAGGAGTTTGGCTTGTATGACAACATAAATGATTTATCGTTTCATTGCTACGGTGACCGGTTTGATTAGACCGGTAATATACTACTAGTATATAACTGTATGTTCTAGACCACGCTTCGTGCGTTTACGCGTATCTGTCAAGTTTGTTCTGGTCTACGACTGTCAACTAATACCTATATATACTTATATATTAATATATTAATATCGATTATCCCGTTGGATGCCATGCCGTCCACTGAATGAGGTGCGGTAGAGTGGCCATGGATCATAAGACACGCCAAGATGCTGCCTTATCGATGTTCCCGCAGTTTTGAATCCGGCGAGTTAACAAAGTATCTGTCCGTCAGGGGAACAATAACACGATAGACAGGAGTATGCTATTGGCAATCATACGGCAGTGCATGGCATCGTGACAGATTCCGGTCTGTACGGCATTCTTGGCGTGCAGTTGTCAGAAAACGTCCAGACAAGTGTTCGATATGTGTGGTATTTCGGCTGGCCGGTGGTGGCGGTGACCCGGAACGTCGGGGCTGCTGAAACATCAATTACATTTCAGTGCTGCTGGCACACGGGAAGCCCCTTATAAACGGCGGCGAGCTTCTCGAAGCTACAAGCATCAAAGGGTTGGGCAGCTACGGCAACCGCGGGTACCTGAAACCGTCGATATGTAGTTTTGTGATTCGTGATATCGTGCACATGCGCACAGATCCTGACTTCCCGCTCGTTAATTGGGGGTCTCTATATATAGATTGCACGGCGATTGGGTGCAGACGCGCACCATTGGCCGCATCTACGCAAATTTTAAAAATACAATGGGTCCACGGCGGACGCGGGTAACGGCACAGATCTGCAGAGCTAAAGCAGCTGTCGGTCTACGAAGTACATAAAGGAGCCCAGCAGAGCGCGAATGCGCCATTGGTAGCTACTAAGCAGGTGAAGTACGTGTAGGCGGCCATTGGGCGCTAGTTTGAAGCCTCGAGCTCCAGCTCGACGCGCGGTTTACAGTAGGTATCTGCATGCATGGCGCCCGCCGCAGCGTCTATGGACCCCGTCTAGCTTTTTGATCGCCAGAGCTAACTGCTCGCTTGCGGCTCAACAGCCACGGTGTCTGGATGCTCAAAGTTGTTCTTGCAATCATAGGCAATTAGTGCTATACTTTTGGTACGGGCTTCATTTGGTGTGCATGCCAGCTGAAGCTTATATGTAATACTTGAGGGAATAAATTTTACTGGCTGTTGGGCTTACTCTTGGTAATATACCAGATGGTACTTAGTGTCTGACGGCATCGCAAAAAGGAGCTTGCCGGGATTCGACCATCGAGCACGATGTGCATATGGTACAATGAAGTATAGGCTACTTAGTCAACGACGAGTTATTTCGCAGCTAAGCCTCCGAGGGTGAGACAATAGTAACGGGAAAACGGCCAGGCGGGCGATTGACATCTTGAGCTCGAGCTCGAGCCTTCAAACGACCGTCCGTGTGCAAATTGCGCACGTTGGGGAAGCCCGGATGGTGCAAGTACTAATTGTACTATAGTGTGGGTGGTGAATTGGATCGGCTGAGGTTAGCAGGTTCTAAAGTCAGTAAGTTCTGCTTGGACTACTACTGGTGGTTCGCGGCGCAGGTACTCGAGTAGGCAGCAGAGCGTTGGTGAGGTGGTGAGGTGGGTGGCTCGACGTCGATGCGCCGTCGGTGGCCAAGCATCGCGAGAAGAGGCAGGTTCAGCACCGATCTGTCCGTGGCTCGCGGCCGCCGTTGGGATGGCGACTGCCAGAACGGGCGACCTGCAGCGACGTGCATTGCGTTGCAGCAGAGCGTGCAAGGTCGCGCCCGCCGCGCCCGCAGGCCCAGCCCGAATCCGGCCGCTGGGCAGTCCCCATCGACGGCACCACTGCAACCTTTTCTTCTTCCCTCAACCCTATCCGAAGAGGCCATCGTATCGTCTACCATCGCCATCTCGTATCACATCATACCCATCCTATCTCGCCGGATCCTCCATTATCGTCGGCAAGGCTAGCAGCAACAATTGAGCCCTGCCCGGCTCTCAGCTCCCCCAACACCCGCTCTTCGTATCCGGTTCCTGAGCTGAGTTAACGCATCGCCCACGACCGGGCCTTGGCTGGATCGGGTAAGAATGCCCAAGCTGGTCAAGAGCAATCCCTTGAAATTTCGGCAAGCATTGCATGATCCCGCGCGCCATGCTCAAACAAATTTTACAATTCGCTTCGCTGAGGCCTGGGCTGGGGAGGGTTCAGGTTTATGGA